AAAACAGCTTGGTACTGGCATAAGAACAGACATGAGGACCGATGGAATAGGACTGAAGACCCAGAAATGAATCCACAGACCTATAGCCACCTAATCTTTGACAAGGGAGCTAAAGAAATAGAATGGAAGAAAGACAGCCTTTTCAGTAAATGGTGCTTATAAAATTGGTTAAACACTTGTAGAAAACTAAAGCTAGATCCTTATATATCACCCTGCACCAGAATCAACTCCAAATGGATCAAAGACCTTGAAATAAAAGCAGACTCCCTGAAAACATTACATGAAGGAATAGGAGAAACTCTAGGGCTCCTTGGCACAGGCTGAAATTTTCTTAATAGAGACCCAGAAACACAACAAATCAAAGAAAGGTTGGACAAATGGGATTTCGTGGAACTGCAGAGCTTCTGCATGGCAAAGGACATAGCAAGCAAGATCAATAGAAAGCCCATGAACTGGGAGAAGATCTTCACTAGCCATACAATGGACAAGGGTCTTATATCTAAAATATACTTAGAACTCAAAAAACTAAATCCCCCAACAACTAATCCTCAAAGAAACGACTACCTGATTAATAAGTGGACTGAAGACTTAAAGAGAGCCTTCTCTGAAGAGGAAATAAGAATGGCCAATAGACACATGCAGAAATGCTCAACTTCATTTTTTTTTTTTTTTTGCGGGGGGTTGGGGGGAGTCCAGTCGTGGGGACTGAACTCTGGGCTTGGGTGCTGTCCCTCAGCTCTTCAGCTCAAGGCTAGTGCTCTACCACTTGAGCCACAGCACCACTTCCGGCTTTTTTCTTTTTGCTTATGTGGTGCTGAGGAATCAAACCAGGGCCTCATGCATGCAAGGCAAGCGGTCTACCACTGAGCCACTTTCCCAGCCCCAATGCTCAACTTCTCTAGCCATAAAAGAAATGCAAATCAAAACAACATTGAGATTCCACAGTTAGAATGGTTATAATCAAGAAATCTAGGACTGGGAAGATGGCTCAGTGGTAGAGCGCTTGCCTTGCATGCATGAGGCTCTGGGTTCGATTCCTCAGCACCACATAAGCAAAAAGAAAAAAGCCAGAAGTGGTGCTGTGGCTCAAGTGGTAGAGCACTAGCCTTGAGCTGAAGAGCTGAGGGACAGCGTCCAGGTCCAGAGTTCAGGCCCCATGACCGGCCCCCCCCCCCCCCAAAAAAAAGAAATCTAATAACAACAGATGTTGGAGGGGATGTGGCCAAAAGGGAACCCTACTGCATTGTTGGTGGGAGTGTAAACTTGTTCATCCACTCTGGAAAGCAGTATGGAGGTTCCTCAAAAGACTCCACATAGAGCTCCCTTATGACCCAACAATCCCACTTTTTGGCATTTACCTAAATGATCACAAACAAGGTCATACCAAAGCTACCAGCACAATCATGTTTATTGCAGCATTATTTACCATAGCTAAGATATGGAACCATTCCCGATGCCCCTCAACAGATGAATGGATCAAGAAAATGTGATATATATATATATATATATATATATATATATAATATACACAATGGAATTCTGTGCCTCCATCAGAAAGAATGATATTACCTCATTTGTTAGGAATTGAAAAAACTTGGAAAAAATTATATTAAGTGAGGCAAGCCAGGTCCAAAGAAACATAGGTCCCATGGTTTCCCTTGTTTGCAATGACTAGTTCATGTCTAGGACAAGCAGAGAAGATCAAAGGCTTTGTACATATGACCACATGAGACAATGTTAAGCAAAATGTCCCCAAGAAAGGGACACAAGTGGTTTTTTCTTTCTTGGTATTGTTTTTAATGTACTTATAATGCACAATGTGATTCTTTTGTTTCTTTTATATGTTCTTCCCCCATGGTATAAACCCCCCTGTTTTCACTGTATTTGATTCTGGTGTTCTGCATCTTGTATATACATTTTTGTAATTTGGGGAGGGGAAGAGGTATAGCAGAATGCATAAATGGCGATGCAGGTTGACCCATTGTGATGATGAGATGTACAGGACACTATGTTGAAAATGAACTTTACAATGTCAAGGGCATGCGCAGGAATAGTTTGAGAGGTGAGGAGGGAAGTGATGGTAGGGGGAAAACAAAGGAGGAGGTAAAAATGCTTACTACGAAATGTACTCATTACACTACTCATATAACTGTAACCCCTCTGTACAGTATTTTTACAATAAAAATATTTTAAAAGCCCAATAAAAGTAAAAGCATTAAAAAAATAAGAATAAACTTGAGTCTCTAGGGACAGGGCATTGATTATTCAGTTAACATTGTTGTTTCTGGGGCTTAGAGGAGGGGCTCTGTGGGACCTGACCTCTGAGGAAAGAGCATTGGTGTCTGATGTTGGTATCTTTGAGTTAGTAAATATTACAAGAATAGTATTTACTAAACAACTTCAAACTCGATTTAACTATTGGTACAAAAAGGTATGCTACCAAGATAAAGAAACCTCTATAGGTTAAAGCATACAGGAAAATTAGTCAGGCGATGTACAGGAAACCAACTGTCAAGGCAAAGAAATAAGGTCTCAGCTCCAACATGAAAGAAGTTGATATTTTGGAGCTGAGACAATAATAAATGGCACTTGACTGATACAGAAACTGATACCATGAATGGAATTTATCTCCCATCCTCTTGTTTGCATATATCTCACAAAGATAATGACCTCTCTACTTTCTGCTTTGCCAATAGAGTTAGCAGCATAGTCCACCACCAGTGTATTCCAGTCAATGTGATACTGACTGGGAGGTCAGGATGTCTTTGTGGATTATTTTATAGCAGAGAGTGAGAGAATTGATGTCCTGAGGCAAGACTATGAATGGACAAGTTGAACATTTCTGATCTGAAAATCTGAAACCCAAAATGCTCTTAAATCCAACTGTATGAGTGTCAACATGATTTTACAAGTGGGAAATTCTACACTATTAAACTATTTCATGTACAAAATTACTTAAAATATTGTATAACATTCCCACTGTGGATATAAGCTGTATATGAAACATAAATTAATTTTAAGTTTAAATTTGGACCCCATCCCTAAGACGTTTCATTATAAACATGCAAATATCCAAAACTCTGAAAGGAAAAAAAAGAGAAATCAGAAGCATTTCTGCTTCTAATAATTTTGGATAAGGAATACCCAACGTGTGTACTGTTGGTCTTGCCAATTTGTATGGAGAAATAAATATCAGGATAATAGCAGTGTATCAGGATCCAAAGGCTAGATTGATGTATTCCTGTAAACGTGCAATATATGGAGGAGCAGCTGCAAATAAAGGCATCACCTGATGAAATTTATAACTATCCATGGTCAAGTTATTTTCCAAGATTTATATGTCTTCTTTTTCTTTTTTTCCATGAGGTTTGAACTCAGGACTTAGCATTTCCTAGGTGAACACACCTCAGATACCAGCCACACCTCCAGGCCTCTTTGTTCTGGTAATTTTTGACATAGGTCTCACTTTTTGTGTGGACCAGCCTGCAACATGGTCCTCCTATTTACACTTCCCATATAGCTGGATGACAGGTGTGTACCATTACACCCAGATTTTGGATGAGATAAGGTCTTGCCAGATTTTTACCCAGACTGGGTCTTGATCTAAAATGTTCCCAATCTCTCCCATGAAAGTAGCTAGGATTTACCTGTATGTGCCATAGTACTCAGCTCTATCTGCCTTCTCCATAGACCCAATAGGCAAGTTAAATTGATAAATTCCATCATCCCATTTTTTTCAGATCTTTATAGGTGGCATTAATATATGCAATCTCACATCCCCTTACCTCAAGAAAGTAATGTTTTGAAATTTTTTTTTGGGGGGGGGGGGTCCGGTCGTGGGTCCTGAATTCTGGGCCTGGGCACTGTCCCTCAGCTCTTCAGCTCAAGGCTAGTGCTCTACCACTTGAGCCAAAGCGCCACTTCCAGCTTTTTTTTCTTTTTGCTTATGTGGTGCTGAGGAATCGAACCCAGGGCCTCATGCATGCAAGGCAAGTGCTCTACCACTGAACCACCTTCCCAGCCCTGTTTTGAAAATTTATTACCATGTGGGACAGGAGAGGGTTTCCTAGGGTTTCAACTTTATACTGTAATGGTCTAATCCTGAATCAAAAAGAAAATATGAATGTTCTGGCAATCAGTATCTCTATTTAAATTAAATATTCAAAAAGTGATTGAATGACTGAATGTGATTCAAATTAGAGTAAAGGTTCTATCTTTTACCTGGCAGCAACAAGCAATTGATGGATATGGACATTGAGAAAGAAAAAAATTAGCAGATTTAGTGGTATTCTCACAAATTTAGAACTAGTTTTTAATGGCAAAAGTAGTGGCATAGTATCAATGAGTGAGTTCCTTAAAGGGATCCATCCTTCCCTGCAGTTGAAAAAGTAACAGGTTGAAATAATGTAGAAACTTGTCTTGGCATATATTTGTATATGTACACAGACATACACAGACATATACATGATATAGGTACTCCTATTCATTAATGTAGTTTTTGTCAAGTCCTTAGTAAAGAGGTGTCACCTGAGTCCTCTTGGAAGACATACAGAATTGGGGAAAGTAGATGGCCTGGTCATATGTGATAAATCTATTCCAACATGCCTATCTCCCTCAGCCTTTGGACTTCCTTCATATTTATTCCAGGCCATTTCTGGTATCTCACCTTAATTAAGCATTGGCCACTGTGGAGTCCAAGTTTCAGTGAACTTACTGAGTAAATGGTTTGTATCAACTCTAGCTTTATATGAACACATTAAATCTGTTATCTTTTATAACTGATAAATGTACCCATGTCAATGAATTCTGCTCAATCCAGTATTATACTCTGTCCTTGCTTCCTTATATTTCCACACATATTCCCTGGGTTTCTGCCAACACATAAGCAAATAGTGAAATTCTTTTGCTATAAATGTTTTTTCTTCCTGGTCAGACTTTGCATTTGTCTGCTGGAGGAACATAAAATCCAATATTAGTTATGAATCTTCTAGTAGTAAGAGATGCTGGAGGTAGGTCTTAAGGAAAATGTTTCCCCTTGCAAGGTACCTTCCCCAGATGGCATTGTTACAATGTCTTTAATTACAAGATGCCTAGTTTCCTCAAAACCAGGGCAAACTATAATCATTGGCAGAAAGAAAGAGAGAGAGAGAGAGAGAGAGAGAGAGAAAGAAAGAAAGAAAGAAGGAAGGAAGGAAGGAAGGAAGGAAAGGAAGGAAGGAAGGAAGGAAGGAGAGAAAGGAGAGAAAGAAAGAGAAAGAAAAATGAAAGAAAGGAGAGAAAATGAGAAGAGAGAGAAAATAAAAAAGAGAGAAAAAGAAAAGGAAGAAAGACAAACAGAGAAAGGGAATCTCAAAGTGATTCAGGATTTGGAGGTTATCAATTTTCTATTCAGCTGCATGCCCCTCCCCCCACCATTGAAATGTAGGGTGTCTCCTCAGTCCTTGCCTTTATTTTCATGAGTTAATTTCTGTCAGTTCATCCAGCACTACAATTCTGCAACCCACATCAATCTGTTGTAAAAGTTTATCACTACTACTATTGTTATTATTTTATCACTATTAGTTCTATGACTAGAAGAAAGAATATTTTTTTGATTGCCACAAAACCCTCTGGTAATATTCTGTATTCCCTTTCTAGGCATGCCACCCTCCAGTATGTCTATGAATTCAGCAACCCAGAGGCTCTCCAAAAACCTCTCCTTTTGATTTTCATAGAGGCCCCATTATGAAAGTTATGATGGAGTCCATCATTAGCTATTGGTGATCAACTTGATATTTAGCTCTGTTCCTCTCCCTGACATTGGGAGAAATATACCTAAAAGGTCCAACTCTGTAAAAAAAAAAAAAGGCCAATTTACTAATGACATGGCTGGTTCTCTTAGCAGCCATCATCTCCCATCCTGAGCCAATCCAAGATCCCACCAAGAGTCATCTCATTAGAGTAAAAGGTGCTCCCATCACCCAAGAAATTATAAGGGACCATCACCCAAGAAATTATAAGGGATTAGGATTTCTTTGAACTTCCATCCTCAGATCTCAGGCATCTTCATAGCTAACATTATAAGCATAAGCCACCAACACCCAGCAAAAGTTAACTTTTTAAAAACATCAATTTGATCCTATCTGCCCTTTCCTTAGAAAGCACAGAATAAAGTCCAAACTGTTTGATTTAGCATGATTTTTTAAAATATTTATGTTAGTTTTGAATTAACATGTATTTGTAGTATGAAGGGGTTTTATTGTGATTGCCTAGAATTAGCTTTTTAGTCTCATCTTCTGCCAGTATCTTTTACATAATTAGGCTCTGTTTCCCAAACACTTCACTTTTTAAACTTTGTTCCATTGAGTGTATTGTTCCTTGTGTTTCAAATGCCCTTCCCCCATCCATTACACAGAATTTCTTTTACTAGTCCTTACAAACCAGCTTGAAAATCTATTTCTGTGAAAACCTTCTGGCTGCCCTGAGAAAATAGCTTATTCCTTTCTGCTCCTTAAGTTGTATGTACCTCTACTCTCAGACTTTGCAGGTTGAACTGGGAATTGGGAACTCTTCAAAGACAGGCTTTAATTATCTTTTTTTAACTCTGACATCTGCCTACATATAGAAGGCACTCAATGTCAGTTACTGAATTGTGTTTATCTGGATACATTCAAGCAAAATTTGGATTTTTAAAAAAAAATTTAAGTTTTTAAAAATGGAAAAAGACATTAGCAATTTCAGGAGATAGCTAAATTCTAAGCAATTATAGTTGGAGACTATAATAGATATCTACTTAATAGTATTTGTTTACTTAAGAGCTGCTTTAAAAGGCTATGAGCTGCGCACCAGTGGCTTGCACCTGTAACCCTAGCTACTCAGGAGGCTGAGAACTAGGATTGAGGTTCAAAGCTAATCCAGGCAGAAAAGTCTGTGAAACTCTTATTTCCAATTAACCACTAGAAAGCTGGAAGTGAAGATATGGCTCAAACTTTGCCTTGAGCAAAAAATCTCAGGGGCAGCACCCAGGCCCTGAGTTCAAGTCCCACCACCAAAAAAAAAAAAAAAAAAAAAGACTTTGAGACATCCATTTTTGTGGATCTTTTGCCTCTAAAGTAATTTTAGTTTATTTCACTATTCCATAAGAATATATGGAATAAATAGAATTGATAAAGAAAAACATTTCAGAGTGACGTGTGTGTATTCTTTCAAACTAAAAAGTGCTTATAAAAATGTGCTTAGAAATTGTGATGGTAACTGTATAATGCCTTAATAATAACAAAAAATGCTTAGATTGTAACTGTCATGAAGGCAGAGACCACATGGTATATGTATATAATTTACTCTGTCCTTCCACCTTTTTCTTTTGGAGACAAGACCTCAAGATGTAGCCTAGAATATCCTCAAACCAGTGATTCTCTTGCCTGTACCTCCTGAGTGTTGGGATGTATCATAGTTCAGGGTTATAATTTACTTCTGTGAGTGTGTTCGAGCATGTGCATGTGCACAAACTGGTACTAAGGCTCTAACTCAGGGTCAGGGTACTCTTCCTTAGCTTTTACAATTAAAGCTGGCAGTCTTCCACTTGAGCCACACCCCCACTTCTGGCTTTTTGCTGGTTAGTTGGAGAAAAGAGCTTCACAGATTTGTTTGCCCGCACCCGCTTTGAACTGTGATTAAGTAACATTTAACCTCCTAAGTAGCTAGGATAACAGGTGTGAGCCACTGGTGCCCAGCTACATATACTCTTTTTATTTTTAATATGTTTTTACTGTAAAAATACTGTACAGAGTGGTACTCTTTACATGGCATATAGCCCATGTATACTCAGACTCTTAAATAATTTTTGCACAGCAATGGTTTCATAAATTGTGATTGGAACTACAGTCATTTGCAGTAAAATGAGGATCTGATATTCATTTTAATTCCTTAATATAAACAAACCAGATAAATAATATTTTTGCCTCCAGAACTCTCTGGAGAAAAAAATTTACTTTATCATCTATCTGCCTTATTCACATTAATTATGTAGCTACCAAAATTTCACTTTGCAACACATGATTCATGTTTCAAAAATTAATGAGGGTAGGGGCTGGGAAGGTGGCTAAGTGGTAGAGCGCTTGCCTTGCATGCATGAGGCCCTGGGTTCAATTCCTCAGCACCACATAAGCAAAAAGGAAAAAGCCAGAAGTGGTGCTGTGGCTCAAGTGGTAGAGCGCTAGCCTTGAGCTGAAGAGCTGAGGGACAGCGCCCAGGCCCAGAGTTCAGGCCCCACGACCGGACCCAAAAAAAAAAAAAAAATTAATGAGAGTACTCTAGTTGCAGTGGCCCACACTTACAATCCCAGTTTCTTAGAGGAAACAAGCCAAAATGTTATCAAGATCCTATCTCAAACAATAAGTGGGGTGTGATGGTATGTGCCTGTAATCCTGACTATGAAGGGGTCATGGATAGATTTAAGTATGGTCTGAAGCTGACCAGTGCAAAACCAGGAGACCCTACCTGAAAAATAACTAAAGCAAAAAGGACTGGGCATGTGGTTCAAGTGATAAAGTGCTGGCAAAACAAGCATGAGACCTTGAATTCAAACTCCATTACCATAAAAAATCTAATAAAGATAATGATAAAATGTTTAAAATGCAATTGCTAGCTTTAAAAATGATAATGGTGGTGATTGCAATGGCTTTCCTCATTTCCCTGAGCAGTAGTCTAGTACTGACTTAGCTCTGGTCAGTAACAGTCATAACAGTTGTACAGTTTCAAAAGTTCAACAGTTGAGAATTTATAGCCATTCCATAGACTGATGAAATGGATAGGGCAAGGGAGATTTTTATCTTTCAGAGTACTTTTTATTGTTTAGCAATATTTCTTCCTTTTTTGGGGGGTTATTAACACTGGCTTGGTATTACTTTTCATTATCATTTGGTAATATTATTTATTTAGTGATCAAGATGAGTGAGTCGACACATCAACACAGACATACATCTACTCAGGTGCTTAGCCTACTTTGGTTTTTAATCTTTTATGAAAGGATTTTTAATTTAACATTCTATCGCTTCTCACTTTTGGCTAAGATCAAGTGAAATTTAACAATTGAGATCTAATATCATATTCTATCACTTATTTTTCTTTTAAGTTGAAATATTCTGAATCAGGTGTTGATAGAAATGTTTCAGAGGGGAGTCTAAAGTTGGATTCTGTTATTTTGTTGCCATCCTTTAATTCTAAACAATGTTTTTAACTGTTTGAATTTGTTGATACAACTACTTTGTGTAATTTTATTTGAAATGAGATATATTCATTATGTGCAACTTTTAATAGAAAACTTACTGTAGTAGAGTATGAAATGTTCCCTTAATCTCTAGCTCCTTTTATATGCATACCCTTTACTAATACTGTTCCTGTTTCAGGAAAATGAAAAATATCAAGAAAATAATCAAAACTCCCTGGAAGTGGAAAAGCATTCTAAGGTAGAATTGAAATAAGTAAATTGATATTAATGTTGCAGGGTAAACTAGATAATTTCTTTATGAAAAAAGGGAAAGAAAAATGTAACAAAGTAAATTCATGTTGATAATTAAATCAATGTAATTCAATCAGTATTACAGGAAACACCCAGAGACAGGTAAGTTATTTGTGAAGAGCCATTACAAATCACAGATAAAAATTGCTTTATGGAAACAGAACCTCTGTACAGTAACCACCTTTTATGGTAACTTTACTGCCATATTAAAAATGTAATTTCCATCTTAGTTACTCAAGTGACCATGTTTAAATAAGCTATTATCTTGAAGAATATTTTATAGAAAAGGAGGTAATTAAAAATAGTTGTATGGATTCATATTAAGTTGACTTAAGCTGACAATATGAGTTTTTAAATATTCTAATTACTTTGGCAATAATAGGGTTTGAACTCAGGGTCTCAAACTTTCTGAACAGGCATTTCTACCACCTCAACAATTCTACCAGTCTCTTTTCATGTTGGTTATTTTTGAGACAGGGTTTCCCTTTATAGTTTGCCAGCCTGAACTCCAGTCCTCCTATTTGTGCTTCCCTTGGTCATTGGAATAACAGATATATGCCATTTTCTCCAGCCATTGTACTTGTTCTGTAGGTTGAGATGACAAGCATAGACCATCATGCCCAGTCATTGCTAGAGATTGATTGTTTGAGCCAAAGTCTCGAACTTTGTCTCCAGGCTAGCCTCAAACCATTATAATCCTGATCTTTACTTTCAGAGTTATTAGGATGATAGGTATGAGCCACCAATGCCCAACTTTAATAGATGTGTGTGTGTGTGTGTGTGTGTGTGTGTGTGTGTGTGTGTGTGTGTGTGTGTGCCAGTGTTGGGGCTTGAACTCAGGACCTGTGTGTTGTCCCTGATCTTTTTTTTTTTTTTTCTGTCGGTCATGGGGCCAGAACTCTGGGCCTGAGCACTGTCCCTCAGCTCTTCAGCTCAAGGCTAGCGCTCTACCACTTGAGCCAAAGCGCCACTTCCAGCTTTTTCTGCTTATGTGGTGCTGAGAAATCGAACCCAGGGCCTCATGCATGCAAGGCAAGCACTCTACCACTGAGCCACCTTCCCAGCCCCTGTCCCTGATCTTTTTACTCAAGGCTAGTGCTCTTGAGCCACAGCTCCACATTTTTTTTTTTTTTTTTGCTGGTTAATTGGAGATAATCTTATGGACTTTTCTGCCCTGGCTGGCTTTGAATCACAATCTTCAAATCTCAGCCTCATAAGTAATTAGGGTTACATACATGCACCACCTGGCTAATTATTTTTTAACTTTTTTTTAAGTAACATTTTCAGAAGTCTGATTTCATTATGACATGGTTTCAAATGTTTGTGGATCATACTATAAAATTAAATGACTAATGGAAAACTGGAATAGTGTTTCTAGCATATTACTTTGTAAGAAGTCACAGAATAAGATTACATATTGAGCCAATATGTTTTGCCAGTGCAGTAGACTGATAACTACTTTGATTCTAATATACAATATTAGATGCTAGAAAAAATAAGGAAGAATTTAGTATTTCCCCAAAGCAATGAACCCTCCTTTGGTGGGGAAAGTTGATGCAAGTTTGAGGAAAAGCAATTAGTTTTGAAATTGGTATTTCTTTTCTCCTTTCAAAGAGTTCCCTGAAGGAAGCACGTATTTCTACATCAGAAACCAGCCACTGGTCAGACAAAGAAACAGTAGCTGAAATAAAATCCCAAGGTAAGGAATGAGATTTTCCTGATGTCCAATAGAAACTAAAAACAATATTAAATTTTTATCACATATGCATTTTCCAAACTTTACAATTTAAAAATATACTTACAGGAAGTATTTTAACTGTGATTACAGAGATAATTTAAAGTGAATTCCCTTCACCCTCTATTAACACTTCTGAAACAACTTTATCATTACTCATTCCAATCTGTAGTATTTAATTAAAGGGAAATTTTTGCTGAGAGTTAATACCTAGCAGAAAACCTTCTAATATGAAAATAAAGTGAACATTTCTAGTGAGTTGGGATGTTCATCCCATTTATTCTTTTTACTACTATTTTTGGGGGGATGGGACAGCACTGATACTTGAACTTGGGGTCTTGCAGTCTGGCTTAGTTTTTCTACTTAAGGGTAGTGGTCTACCATTTAAAACACATCTCTACTTCCAGCTTTTTGCTGGTTAATTGAAGGTAAGACTCAGATTTGTCTGACTGATCTATCTAAAAAACCTCTATCCTCAGCTCTCAGCCTTCTGAGTAGTTAGGATTACAGGCAGGCATGAACCTTTTTGCTAATAGTCCTGACCACACATTTATTCTGTTTGATTCAAAACTTGACCCCTTGTTCTACTAACCAGGATCAAAAAGCAACAAGTGGAAATGATACTCATTTCCTTCACAATGACCACTTTAATTTCAAGTATTTAGTGAAATCTATCAAAAAAGGTTCTTTGAATATTAAAGCTTTAACAAGCCAGGTGCTGGTGGCTCATGCCTGTAATCCTTAGCTACTCAGGAGACTGAGGTATGAGGATTGAGGTTCAAAGCCAGCCTAGGCAGGGAAGTCCATTAGACTTTTATCACCAGTTAACCACCAGAAAGTTGGAAGTGGCACTGTGGCTCTTAGGTGGTAGAATGCTAGCTTTGAACAAAACTGCTCAGGGACAGCAACCAGGTTCCAAGTTGAAGCCCCATGACTGACCAAAAACACCAGCATCACCACTCCCCCCAAAAAAGAACCTTTGACAATTTCCCATACTTTATTTCAATTTAATTAATAAATATTGGATGTGTAGTATGTATGTAGTAGGCTGGACTAAGTTAAAATAAAGTATTTTCTAGATTATAAAATTTTTCTCGAGGCTGGGGATGTAAGTCAACAGTAGAGCACTTGCTTAGCATATGCAAGGTCCTGGGTTCGATTCTCAATGTAACACATACACACACACACACACACACACACACACACACACACACACACACACATTCTTCCTGGGAAGCCCTTGCCTATGATCTTCCACATGATCCCATTCCTGAATTTGCTGATTTTTACTGCCTCCTCACCCCTCTTTACTACTACCAGTACCCCATGCATATATCTGGCCTTTTTCTTAATGACTTGTGCATCATTCTTAAATTAAGTTTCATTTAATATCTATCAAACAAGCCAGGCACCAGTGGCTCACACCTGTAATCCTAGCTACTCAGGAGGCTGAGATCTAAGGATAGAGGTTCAAAGTCAGCCTGGGCAGGAGGTCCTGAGACTCTTATCTCCAACAAACAACCAGAAAATCAGAAGTGACACTGTGGCTCAAGTGGTAGAGCACTAGCCTTGAGCTGAAGAGCTCAGGGACAGCGCCATAACAAAAACAAAAGCAAAACAAAATAAAACAATATCAAATGTGATGTTGTGTTCTTATTGATCATTCACAATTACATTTTATATTCTGAATTCCTCCATTCTCATTATATATACACATGTACATACATATATATGCAAGTATATTCATATAACGTATATTTTTAAGTCTTTTTTTGTGGGTCATGGGGCTTGAACTCTGGGCCTGAGTGCTGTCCCTCAGCTCTTCAGCTCAAGGCTAGTGCTCTGCCACTTGAGCTACAGCACCACTTCCATAACATGTATTTTTTTGATGAGAAGAGGAACTGTTATTGAAATTTCAGCATGTCAGAGGAAATGTCAAAACCCTTACTGTATACTTGTCAAAATTATAATGTAGTTACCTTGCAAAGCAGCTCCCAAATTGCACTCAAACACTTGTCTTGGCCTAGAAAATATTGTTGCTTAAGTAACATGCCAATGCTATATACTGTTCTCTTTTTCATATATGAGCTTAACTTGTATTTTGAGAATTTTTTTTTAAACTATGAGTTTACCCGACTCATTACAGAAGCCCTAAGACAGTTTTGTAGGATACTGTCTATACTAAATGGAGTTTTGGTTCCAATAATATTTATACATTTTTTTTTTTTTTTTGGGTCTGGTCGTGGGGCCTGAACTCTGGGCTTGGGCGCTGTCCCTCAGCTCTTCAGCTCAAGGCTAGCACTCTACCACTCGAGTCACAGCGCCACTTCCGGCTTTCTTTTTGCTTATGTGGTGCTGAGGAATCGAACCCAGGGCTTCATGCGTGCAAGGCAAGCGCTCTACCACTGAGCCACCTTCCCAGCCCCCCAATAATATTTAGTAATGTCTCTTTTCCTTCTTCTTTTGTAGTGGTCATTTACATTATGTACAAATGTTGAGAAATCCTGATAAGGACAAGGCAGCTAAGCTGGAGTCAGAGCCAATGTTTAATGAATATCATACAATTTGTTGAATAACTCTGCTGGCTCAATTTTCCTCAGTTCAATCAGCAGCTGGTCCCACTAACCTTATATAACATTAGAACGAGACTGCTATGGCTTATTATAATGTGGATTATATTATCCCTATTTATATCCTTAAACAGATTTTGTTCTGCAGCTATGCCAACAGTGGGGCATGCACTAAAAGCAAAAAATGATTTTTAAATCACTGGTAAAGCTAGACCTTTCAAATTATAAACAAGGAATTCTTTGTATACCTTCTTATTTAGTTGATAGCATTCATGCCTGTAATGCCTGAATAGGTTTTTTTATATTAAAAGATTGACTAATACAGTGGTGAAGATATGTTAGAGGAGAACTTAAAAGGCTCTTTTTTTGGGGGGGGGGGGGTCCGGTTGTGGGGCCTGAACTCTGGGCCTGGGCGCTGTCCCTCAGCTCTTCAGCTCAAGGCTAGCACTCTACCACTTGAGCCACAGTGCCACTTTCAGCTTTTTTCTTTTTGCTTATGTGGTGCTGAGGAATCGAACCCAGGGCCTCATGCATACAAGGCAAGCGCTCTACCACTGAGCTACCTTCCCAGCCCTTAAAGGCTCTTAATTTAGGAAAAATTTATAAATTTATCTTGAAAAAAAGGATTCCCATGCTTAGCATAGTAACCAATACCAGTGAGAAATCAGTAATTATTAAGTGAATCTACAAACAAATCAATTTGTTGCTAAGAGATTTAGGAATGTCCAAGGCAGTCTCAAACCTACTGAAAACTCCAGTTGCTGTTTGCAACTATATTCCATTAAAACTCTATATTAAATTACCCTTGGGGAAGTGCCATGATTTGTGATCCTTTCATTCAGAGCTCACATAATCAAAAGACAGCTTTCAGATAGGATTGTTCAGAATCTTTGGTTACTGTATTGTCCCTACAATTGCTGGGCCTCTTTAACTTTGCTTTTCTTCTTCTTCTTTTTTTTCTTTTTTGTTCTAAAACTGGAGTTGATATCAAACACACTTCTACTACTTCCATTCTGTGTATCAGTGGGGACAATGCAAGCACTAGGATTGTTGCTTAACAACCTGAAATGTCCTAGCACACTAATGGAGCACTCGCATGCTGCAATGTAGTTCTAGTTCATGTGGGAATTTACTAATGTGTACTAGTATGATCCCTAAAGAAAGCAGAGGACTATCTAGTTTGGTTTGTGCTAGCCAGATTAAAAGAAAATACATTAGAACCTACAGATTTTTTTTTTGTCGGTTGTGGGGCTTGAACTTTGGGCCTGGGCACTGTCCCTAAGCTCTTCAGCTCAAGGATAGAGCCACTTTTGGTTTCCTGGTGGTTTATTGGAAATAAGAGTCTCTTGGTCTTTCCTGACCAGGCTGGCTTTGAACTACGATCCTTAGATCTCAGCCTTCTGAGTAGCTAGGATTACAGGCGTGAGCTACAGATGCCCCCAAAGAACCTACAGATTTTTAATAATTGCTCTCTTTCACGCTTACTTAAATATAAAAATAAAATATTGTATATTAGTGAGTATTGTGAATAAACAAAATGGAGATATACCTTACCCACTTTTTTTCACCAATAGTGGCTAATTTGTTTAACTGAGAGGTAGACAAGAGAGAGCCTCATACTACTCTCCTTGCTTTCTCCTTACCAGTTGTAAGCAAATTGACCAAGTTGGAAATCAAAGAGCAGAAGAGTTACTATCCACTATTGGTTGTAAAGTGCTCAATACTTGAGATAATGCCTTTTCAAGACTTTCTTCATAGACTACTTTATTTTTCCCATGGAAAGAAAGTTGGTTACTAGGTAGATAGGATTTATTTATTTATTTATATTGTTGGTCAAGGAAAGAAAGTTAAGATTTTTTGTTTGTTTTGTCGGTCGTGGGGCTTGAACTCTGAGCGTGGGCACTCTTCCTGAGCTCTTCAGCTCAATGCAGTGCTCTACTACTTGAGCTGCAGCGCCACTGGCAGTTTTCATGTGATTGATTGGAAATAAAAGTCTTGTAGACTTTCCTGCTGGGCTGGCTTTGAAGTGCGACCCTCAGCTCTCAGCCTCCTGAGTAGCTAGGATTACAGGCATGAACGGTGCCCAACAGGATTTATTTTTAAGTTATTGGGTTTTTAAACAATACTATTTTGTTTATTGGTTTGATTTGAGGGTTTGTTTGCTTTTAATGAAGATTCTCTGTGTAGCTGAGGCTGGCCTTGAATTCTCATCTCAGGTCTTACTGTCTTAACTTCTCTGAAAGATGGGATTGCAGAAATGTGCAGACTTTTCAACAATTTGTGTGTGTGTGTGTGTGTGTGTGTGTGTGTGTGTGTGTGAATATGTAGCTTGAACTTGGCCTGGGTGCTGTCCATGAGCTTTTTTTTTTTTGCTCAAAGCTAGAATTCTACCACTTGAGCCACTGCTCCATTTCCAGCTTTTTGGTGGTTAATTGGAGATAAGGGTTGGATGGACTTTCAGGCTCAGCTGGCTTTGAACTTCAATTCTTAGATCTCAGCTTTCTGAGTAGGGAAAATTATGAGCATGAAGCCACTGGTACCTGGCTTTGACAAATTTTAAAGCAGCAAAACTTTTTTTTCCTAAAGGAAATCTGATTGAGCTTTCCAGTTAATTTAAATAAATTAAGGTATAGATGTTCTGACCACAAAACACAAGAAGCTTAGAGTCCTATAGCTTTTTTTTTCTTCTTCCTCAGTGAGCTGGAGGCTTGGCTCAAGTGGTAGAATACTTGACTAACCTCTTCAGTACTTTTGAACTCAGAGCCCTTCTAAGTAGGTACTTTAACCTTAAGCTAAACCCACAACCTAAACTGATATTGTTTATTTGTTTTCACTACTGGGGATTAAACCCAGGATATAAACTACATGAGCAGCCCTCCTAATGGTGTTTTAAGGTCCTTCTTGGGACCCTGAGAAACAAAGTGCTAAAACTACGGCCCAATAACAGTAACTCTTACTCTTGTTGATGATGACATAATTGGTGCTAACAAAATCAAATCAGACTCTTGCCTTGTGCTTTAGTCTTTTTAATCAAATCAGAATCTTACCTCGTGTTTTAATCTTTTCTTGCTTGTGTAACAAAATGCTATAGACTGAGGAGTTTGTAAGTTGACAGTTATGGAAGTCTGAGAAGTCTTAGATGGAGTCACTGACAGGTTTGATGTCTAGCAAGGCTCAGTCTCTGTTTTCAAAATGGCATCTTGAATGCTGGATCCTCTAGAGGAGATGAACACTGTATTTTCACATGATGAAGAGGTGAGAAGGTAACAAAGGAGTCCTACCTAGTTTCATCTAGCTATTTCATGAGGGCAGAGTCCTCATGACTTCCCAAAATGTCCCACTTCTATCATTGTTCAAAGCCAGTCTGGGCAGGAAAGACCCTGAGATTCATTTCCAATTAACCAGCAAAAAGCTGGAAGTGGAGCAATGGCTCAAGTGATGGCATGCCAGCTTTGGGTAAAGAAGCTCAGGAACAGCACATAATAACAGTCCCTGAGTTCAGGACCAGCACATAAATAAACAAACTTTAGGGAACACAAACATTCCAATCCTAGCATTCTGAAATTAAAATGTTAGTAATACATCTTAGAGAAACTCACATATGTATGCAAAGGAAATACATTTAGTAATTTCCATAGAAGGATTGTCTGGTATAAAGAAAAAAAGAAACAAATAATCCAATGTCTATCAAGGGAAAGAACGCATCATGATAGAATCATACATAAAGTGTTATGCTACAGTGAAAAGTAAATTAAGTACCTGAATCTATCAATCTAGATGACTTTCTCAAATATAAAATATAAGAAGTCTACAGAATACACATGATATTGAAATAAATTTTATAAAGTAAATCACATATAAACCAATCTATGGAAATAATGAACATGAAATTCAGAATAGTATTTCAGTGTAGCAACCTATGAGGATATTTAATATATTGGTACATTTTTCATTATGCTAAGATTAGATACATGTTTATCATATTGCTACTATATTTGCTGGTCTCAAATATTTTATAACAAAATAAGTTTTTTCAAAAACCCCACTGGGGCTGGGAATGTGGCTTAGTGGTAGAGTGCTTGCCTAGCAAGCATGAGGCCCTGGGTTTGATTCCTTGATAGCACATTAACCAGCAACACTGCTCTAAAGTTATGGAGACTCTACTCTTGTCCTTTTGTTACAATAGTACTATTTATTGCAAATTATTAATAATGAAGGCATGTCTTAATAATTACTTTCCAATTGTATTTAGAGAGAGGGGGAGTGTAATTGGGCATGGTGGTACATGCTTGTACTCCCAACTGTTTTGGAGGCAGGGACCACGAAGACTGAGGTTCAAGGCAAAAAGTCAGTTAGACCTCCATCTCAACAAACAAGCCAGTTACAGTGGTACACAACTAAAATTGTAGCTACCTGGGAGGTAGATGAAGGATCTGAGGTTGGCCCTAGAAGGGAAAAAGCACAAGGCCCTATCTGAAAAATCAAAAACAAAAAGCAAAATGGGCTAGAATATGTCTCAAATGGTAGAATGACTTGCTTAGCAAGCATGGGACCCTACTGCCAGAAAATAAAAAACTAATAGAAGAATAGAAGTGAATTTTAGATATGTTTCTGTCTTCCCCTGTATCCACAAAGTAGCAGAAGTAAAATCTTGTAGTAATACACAACCCTGATCCTATTGAGGTTTATCTCTGAAACTACTACTCCAAAGTACTTCATCTCCATATCCATGTCAGAAAAAGCTCTTCAGATTCCCACTAATTCTTCCATCCTAGTCACCGCTACAATCATGGGTATAGAAAAAACAAAAAAAACAAACAAAACAAAAAAATGAACAAGCAAAACCACCTAAACCATCTGATAGCTTATTGTACATAGCCTAAGCTAGCTATGTCCTGGGAATGCAAGGTCAATCTATTCAGTTCTAAGTGTCTTGAAAAATATGTTTTTCAATCTCACATAGGCCTTCAATATTACCTGGAAATCAATGTATATGTAGTCTGCTCCCTTCCATTTCCATATGTTATTTCAAATACTTATCTTTCACATCTGGTCCATGATTCCATTCCTTGGTTACAGCAATATTTATTTTATTCCACAGAAACAGAAGCTGTTAGATGGAATGTCCCTGATTTACTGTGCCCTCTCAGATTAGTGTAAGAGATGTCATGACTCACTCCTTCATAGTTCCTCAGACCCTCTGACCATCAGCTAATCTCTCTCTTGCATCTTCAGGTTTTCTCTCTACTTTGCTCTTACCTCTCATTCTCCAAATAAAGTCACACTTATCTCACTTTGAAAGAGAAATTCTTCCCCACAAAAAAGAAAGAGGGAAGAAGTGGGGGTAGGCAGGGAAAGGAATGAAGAAAAGAAGAGAGGGAAGAAGGAAGGGACAAAGAAAGGAAAGGAAGGAGAAATAAAAACAAAGAGAAGCAGAGCTGCTGAATGTCGTAAGTTAATAGCAAATGCCTTTATGATATCTATATATAGAATGGATATCATAGACATAGATATAGATGGGTTTTTTTGCTAGTTTATTGGATATATATGTCTCTCAGATTTATCTTCCTAGGCTGGTTTGGAGTTTTGATCCTCAGATTTCAGCTTCTTATATAGCTAGGATTATAGGCATAGCAACCAGTGCCCAGCTGTTGTCAGACTTTCTGTCACTTTCAGCCAGTAGATCATGTAAATAATGTAAGGAACTTTTTTTTTTTTTTTTGTCGGTCGTGGGGCTTGAACTCTGGGCCTGGGCACTGTCCCTCAGCTCTTCAGCTCAAGGCGAGCGCTCTACCACTTGAGCTACAGCGCCACTTCCGGTTTTCTGGTGGCTTATTGGAGATAGGAGTCTCACGGTCTCTCCTGCCCGGGCTGGCTTTGAACCGCGATCCTCAGATCTCAGCCTCCTGAGTAGCTAGGATTACAGGCGTGAGCCACCAGCCCCCGGCTTTGTAAGGAACTTTTTATGATAATATTCTATAGTTACGGGCTGGGAAGGTGGCTCAGTGGTAGAGCGCTTGCCTTGCATGCTCAAGGCCCTGGGTTCGATTCCTCAGCACCACATAAGCAAAAAGAAAAAAGCCGGAAGTGGCGCTGTGGCTCAAGTGGTAGAGTGCTAGCCTTGAGCTGAAGAGCTGAGGGACAGCGCCCAGGCCCAGAGTTCAGGCCCCACGACCGGACCCAAAAAAAAAAAAATTCTATAGTTACAAGAATTAAAATCTGTTTCTAATATTTCTTACATTTTATTTTCCCCCCTTTTTCTCAGAATCAGTCTTGGAAGAAGAGCCAAGTTCAGCCCAGGGCCCAGGGAATGTTGCAATTCGAAAACTTGCAAAAGTAATTTTTGATGGAGATGAAACTAAACTAGAATCAAAGCTACAGCAGCCATGGAGGGACAATCTTTTCGAAAGGGTGGAAGCAAGAGCCCGAGAAATGCAGCAGAAAATAATAGATAAGGATAATCTGAAGAAGGAATTACAAAAAAAGACTGAAAAAAAACTACCTAAGGATAATTTGGCTAAAGAGTGGCTTAATATTGATAATATGACACTGACTACCCGTGCATATTTGCTTGACAAACTCCTACCTACCTTGGTTCCTGGAATGGAAAAAATGTTAATGCAATTAGAAAAGAAGAATATTTTGTCAGCAGCTGATATTCCATCCAAGTTTGATCCAATTAATTATTTGGGAGAATATTTAATGAGAAACAATCCTTCTTATATTAAAGAATCAGGAATGTCTGGTTACCAGAGAGTAATGAAAGATGTCACAGAAGACCTGAAGATACATGTTCCGGATACTGTGTATAACAGGTACAATTTGTTGTGCTTTCAATTGATGATCTATCTCCTTATGTTGAAAAGATAGAACAAGAATATGAACACAAACAGGAATGAAAAGAAGTGATGTTAAACCATGTGCCAGTGGCTCATGCCTGTAATCCTACTTATGCAGGAGACTGAGATTTGAGGATCATGGTTCAAAGCCAGATTGTGCAGACAAATCTGAGCGACTCTTACTCTAATTAATCACCAAAAAGCTGGAACTAGAGGTGTGCCTGAAGTGGTAGAGGACCAGCCTTGAGCAAAATAGGTTAAGGGAGAGTGCCCTGGCCCTGAGCCCAAGTCCCAGTACTAGCAACACACCCATATACCCACACATACCCCTACCTCCACACACAATGCACACATTCACAGAGTAATTTTATAGTTATTAAAATAAGCATATAATAAGCATATAACTATATAAATAACTATAACCATAAATAACTACATAACTATCCTTGAGCTTTATTTTTTTGAGCTTTAGTTTTTTTTGAGGGATTGTGAAAACTAAAGAAGTCTTACAAGGACTCCAAATAAGTATTTATGTCTATATGAATTGCTGGAGTGAAAGTTTGAGCAGTGTGTTGGTGGCTCATGCCTGTAATTGTAGCTATTCAGGAGGCTAAGAATCTGTTCAAAGCAAGACCTTTATCTCCAATTCATCACCAAAAAGCTGGAAGTAGTGTGGTGGTTCAAGAGCTAGAGCACTATCTTTGAGCAAAAAGAGCTCAGAAACAGTGCCCAGGCCCTGAGTTCCAGGACCAGGAAAAAACCAAAAATAGGGTGGGGGGACTTTCTAGAAGTTCAGCTTTCCAAATAGGCAGTATATTCACAGATTTTTCCCGGCTGGTCTGGCTGTCATTAGATGGCAATCCTCAGATCTCAGCCTCCTGAGTAGCTAGATTACAAGCATGAGGCACAATAAAGTATTATAATTTTAATTTTAAATATTGATCCACTACAATCTGTAAGGCAGGGATCCTACACTTTCAAATGATTACTTGGTGGTCTTTATAAAAATTGTTGACATTGGGCTGGGAAGTTGGCTCAGTGGTAGAGTGCTTGCCTTGCGTGCCTGAGGCCCTGGGTTCGATTCCTCAGCACCACATAAGCAAAAAGAAAAAAGCCACAAGTGGCGCTGTGGCTCAAGTGGTAGAGCACTAGCCTTGAGCAGAAGAGCTGAGGGACAGCGCTCAGGCCCAGAGTTCAGGCCCCACGACCGGACCCCCAAAAAAAAAATTGTTGACATTGAGTATGGTAACTCACTCCTATAATAATGAGGGGAAAGTTTTTGAGACCTCTCTCAACCAGTAAAAACCAGGGCATGGTGGTATGTACCTGCATCCAGCTATATAGGAAGCATAAATGTAAGGATCATAGTCCAAGCCTGCCCACACATAAATGAGACTATATTTGGAAAGTAATTAAAGCAAAAAGGGCTGAGATACATTGCTCAAGTGGTAGAATGCTTGCCTAGCAAATTCAAGGCCCTGAGTTCAAACTCTAATACTGCTAGAGAGAGAGAGACAGAGAGACAGACAGAGACACAGACAGAGAAAGAACTGTTGAATAGTTTAATTTTGCCTCATTAGTTTTGGTTTTCTTTCTAAGCTCTATATATTTTGGAGTATCTTTCTGAATTAACAAAAATATTCATTGCCTATTTGCCCATTGTCTATGTCATGCACTAGTGTCACACTGCATTAGTTATTGAGGTCTTTAAATATATTTTAATTAATCTGATCGTAATGGTGGCCACTATTTGCTCTTCATTTTTTTCTTCTGTCTTATAGAAATTTGATATTTATTTATTTATTTTGGTCCGGTCATGGGGCCTGAACTGTGGGCCTGAGCGCTGTCCCTCAACTCTTCAGCTCAAGGCTAGTACTCTACCACTTGAGCCACAGCACTATGTTCAGCTTGTCCTGGGTAGTTTATTGGAGATAAGCCTTTCATGCACTTTCCTGCCTGGACTGACTTCCAACTGACTTCCGATATCCTAGTATTACAAGAGTGAGGCGCCAACTCTGGGCCTGGGCGCTGTCCCTCAGCTCTTCAGCTCAAGGCTAGCGCGCTACCACTTGAGCAACAGAGTGAAGTCCAGTTTTCTGAGTGATTTATTGGAGATAAGAGTCTCACGGACTTTTCCTGCACCTGGCTTTTACGAGAGCCTCAGATCTCAGCCTCCTGAGTAGCTAGGATTACAGGCGTGAGCCACCAACACCAGGCTGTGGAGTGATTTTTAAACATTAGAATTAATTATTAATTTTGCCAAATACTTTCCATGCCTATAAAGGTGACCATTTGATTTTTCACTTTAGATTCACTAATGAGGAATGTTATTAATAGAGTTCCTAATGTCCAACTATCTTAGAATTCCTGAAACCAATGTCACTTGGCTGCTCTGTGTTTGGTTATGCTTCCTCCTAGTAAGACAGAGTAAATATTCCTGTTTTCTAGCTAAAGATATATCTATATCTATATAACTATTTATCACTAGCTAATGCTGATGACAGCAAAAAAAAACAATTAATTTTTTTCTCCTTTTGAAAAAAAGGTTCTTTTTTGAATATCATTATGAATGCAAGAGTCTTCATATATATAGTCATGTATTTCAGTCATAGTCATTTATTCTTTTGTGATGCTTATTTTGCACCACTACTATAGAACATACCGTAAAGGAAAAGAATTCACATCTAGTTTACTTTTTATTTATTTTTTGCTCTGTAGAGGTTCTAACCCAGAAGCCTTTAACATGTTAGATAAATGCTCTTCCATTGAGCCACACCTTGAGCCCTCACAATTAGTTTGGACATAGACATTCTAGAAGATACAGATTAGATAATGTAAGAATTAAAAAATTTAGTTTCAGTACATCAGCAGGCCAAAGAATTCTCTTTAACATCTACAAGAGTATCCAAAGGGCTGGGAAGGTGGCTCAGTGGTAGAACGCTTGCCTTGCATGCGTGAGGCTCTGGGTTCGATTCCTCAGCACCACATAAGCAGAAAAAAAAAGTCGGAAGTGGTGCTGTGGCTCAAGTGGTAGAGCGCTAGCCTTGAAGTGAAGAGCTGAGGGACAGCGCCCAGGCCCAGAGTTCAGGCCCACGACCGGAAAAAAAAAAAAAGAGTATCCAAAATGGGGACCTAACACTTTAAACATCTCTACATTGACAGCTTAGGAAATCAATGAAAAATGTCTGCTTTCTTCATTGAAATATTAGATTATGTGAAATATATTAAAATATTGTGTTTATATTAATATGTTTCTGAGTTTTTAACATTACTTTGTTGATTTTTATATTTGTGTTTCTCTTTTCCTCACACTAATTTTTTTTTGTCAGTCATGGGGCTTGAACTCAGGGCTGGGCTCGGTCCCTGAGATCTTTTGCTCATGGCTAGGATGCTACCACTTTGAGCCATAGTACCACTTCCAGTTTTCTGGTGGGTAATTGGAGATGAGTCTCAAGGACTTTCTTGTTCAGGCTGGCTTTGAGCTTCTATCCTCAAATCTCAGCCTCTTGAGTAGCTAGGATTACAGGAGTGATCCATCGGTGCTGATGTAATGATTTATTTTGTTGTGTCCTTTATATTAAATAGCTTCTGCTGGTGCCAGTGGCTCACACCTGTAATCCTAGCTACTTAGGAGGCTGAGATCTGAGAATCACAGTTCAAAGCTAGCCTGGGCAGGAAAGTCTGTGAGACTCTTATGTCCAATTAACCATAAGAAAACCAGAAGTGGTGCCGTGGTTTAAGAGGTAGAGCACTAGCCTTGAGCTGAAGAGCTGAGGGACAGTGCCCAGGCCCAGAGTTCAAGCCCCACCACTGACCAAAAAAAAAAAAAAGCTTCAAAATAATAATGCTGATACGTCTATTCATAGTAAAAACATAAATGAAATTTTCATGTTTATCTAAAGCTTTCTGGCCCATAAAATATATCCCACTAAGTATATACATGTGAAAAAATGAAGCCTTACCAAAACTGAAGAAACTAGGGATTAAATTCTTTTATACCAGATAAAATGTTTTTAAACTGTGAGTCAAAATCATGAAAATATTGATAAGTTTGATTACATAAAAGCTAAAAAGCCTTTTGCCTGGCAAATTGAGTAACTACTAATCAATTCTACTGCAAAAAGAGCACATAGTCAAAATGTAAATGAATAAGCCTGGCCATTAGCCAATGAAGTTTACGTATGGATATTGAAATTTGATTGAATATAATCTTTACATGTTACAAAATATTGTCATTATTCTTCTGCTTTAGAAAATTGATTTACAATGTAATAGCCACTTTTAGGTTTCAAGCTGCACAAAACAAGGCAGTAGGTCAGATGTGGTTTGCTGACCCCTGGTCTAAATGATACCTATTAGATTTTTTTCAGAGCTAAAAACAACAGCAAACAAAATATGATTTACTGCCTGAATTTCTCCCCAAATCTCTATATCTGCCTTTGAATATTTTCTGGCATGGAAATCTATAATAAAATTGGAGAAAGATGTTGAGCACTGTGGTGGTTATGCTTTTAATACTAGCTACTCATGAGGTTGAGATTTTAGGATTGAGGTTCAAAGCTAGTCCAGGAAAACAAATCTGAGAGACTCTTATCTCCAATTAACCAGCAAAAGGTTGGAACTGGAGGTATGGCTCAAGTGATAGAATACCAGATATAAATCAGAAAAGCCTCTAAGAGATAGTGAGGCTCAGAATTCAAGCCCCAGTACTGCCTAAATAAATAAATAACAATAATAAAATAAAATTAATAAAGAAACCTAAAATCCTTTGACTTGTTTTAGTTTTTCCTATAAAGTAAAACTATCAATTACAAGCTTTTAGAACAATGTTTGTTTGTTCATTGTTCTGGGGATGGAACATAGCACCTTGTACAAACTAGGCAAGGCCTCTATCACTGAGATACACATCCAAACTCCTAAGGATTCTTCTGGAATAAAGTTCATAGACAGCTCTGGAATAAAGTAAAACTAAAAAA